CACCTAGCACAAATCAGCTGTTTAGGCAAAAGTGGGACTACTGAGCCCTCCAAACCCACCAGCCTAGGCTGCCCCTCACACTGTGGTACTAATATCAAGCTACAAGCCTCTGACAGTCACTGCATGTACACAGCCATCCACAGGCAGGGACACATTGAGCTACATGAATGATCTCCCAGCCATTCATGAGCCATAAATAGAGAGGCTTCAACCAGTGCCCCCCCCCCCACCTCGCACCTCAGAACCGTAATGTCTTGCACTGCTCAAGGACCCCTTGGACAGTGCAAACTCATTAATATGTTCATCACTTCTTCATAGGAAAGTGGACATGCACCAGCCTTTGTAATTTGAGCTGAGATTCCCCTAGCACTTCAACCAAAAACAAACACATTTTAGGCAAAACAGATTTATTAACTACAGAAAGATGGACTTTAAGTGATTATAAGTAACAGGTATAGAGATCAGAGTTGGTTGCCTAGGAAATAAAAATAAATTGTAACTTAGACGAAGCAAGATTTGAACCAAACTGTCTCTCATCCTAACAGATGGTACAAGCAAGTTACAGTTCCTCAATACATCCTTCCAGCCTGGGACCAATTTCCCTAAGACAGTCTTTGTCTTCCAGACAATCTTCCAGTGTTGAGATGGGGGTGTGGAGGAGAGAAAGAGAGGCCATGTGATGATGTCACTGCCACTCTTCTTCCAGGAGCTAGAAAGATCCCTGCTGTGACGTGGGTTAGTCCGCCCACCCCCATGGAGTATGTGCCTTCGCTGATGGGCCATTAACAAAGTCTGGGCCCTCCTTGGTTACAGCTGAAAGGCTGGTTGTTGGCATTTCCCAACATATTTCAGTAGCACTTATAGCAGTACTTCCTAACTTCACATACAATGATAGTACATACAATCCAACAGGATATTAAGGTTTAACAGATCAAGACTTTTAAAAGGATACCTCACAAGACATGCATTGTACCAAACATATCATAATCAGATCATAGTGGTGAATAGGGGGGTTCCAGGATGCTACTTTGAGGTACAGAGTGTAACACCCTGAAAGGGCCTAAGTGCCACTTTCAGCCAAGTGTGGAAATGCACACCCTAATTCAAGTGCCCAAGTTTTTCATTTGGGAATCCACCTATTATGTAAAGTCTCTATAAGAGTGATTTATTTTCTTAAGTTGCTAATATATTTTCCAAATGTTTAAGTGGGAGCTATAGAGGGTGAGATTGTGAGAAGCACTCAGCTGTGGCCTAGCTCTGCTCCTAGTGCAGTGGACATAGAGTCAGGCAAAGGTTAAGTGGTTTTGAAAATCCCACCCTTAATGTTGTCTTGTGAGTCATTCCTTCAGGGAAGTTACATTGGATTGTATTTATACAGTAATTTTTTTTTAGGGAGAACGGTTTTGTTTTTTTAAACAGACAGTAAATACAATTATTTTCCTTTAAGCTCCTAGAATCCTGTTTTACTACAAAAATCCCACTACAAGTTATTGCACGGCCTACATAGCTTTAAGGGCAATGCTTGTTTTAAAAGCAGCTGATTACTTTGTACATATGACACGACCATGCATTTCAACAGGCTTCTATAAAAACAGAACTGTTATTTGGTACATGAACCTACAAAAAAAAAAAAAAAAAATTCTAAGCCCTGAGTCACAATCAGAACCTGTATGAGATGCTCTAGAGGATTCCTAATGATTATGTACAGGCAGGAAAATACAGCTTTAGGGTGATTAGAGTCTCCCTTAAGTCATGACAAAATGCATTTGTACTAGAAAGACAAAGCTGAAATGACATGGGGACAAGTTATGTAATTAAAATTAAAGGGAAATGTACCCTGCCCCAGCTCAGAGCAGCTCGACAAAAGAATTAAATAAGCATGCAGGGCCAGATCCCCACTGGTGTAAATTGGCATAGCCCCCATTGAAATCAGATACTCTGTTTTTTAGAAAAGTACACTAATGGTCTGCAAAAGGTTAGTAGCAGGTCACTGCAGTTGTAGGTTCCTGGCTGACATCTGACCCTGCTGGGTCTCTGCTCATCTGGCAGGTACATGGTAGCACATGCAAAATGCAGTTGGTGATCTTTTTACCCATTTAGGTACAGACAAATGTCTACAAACCCCTGTAGAACTGGTAATGTTGTTCGCTTTGCAGAAAGCCAAGAATGACCCAGTGCTGGAGATTCTCAGCCCCAAAGTGGCCTTTTTGGTCCGAGTTGAAGCTCATTGCTACCACGATGTCAGATCAGTTGAGTGCCACTCACCAGACTGCGGAGAGGAGACTCAGACACCCGATCCCACAAAGTCCAGTCACTGCCCTGAGTTCCCTAGGCACATGCGTGAGGTGTAGATCTTCTATCTGACATACCCTGCTGGGAGCTTAGACCACAAGGCCCACTGCCCAATCTCTGGCACCAGTGTACAGCCCTCAGACTACTACCCACCTTGACAGCTGAAACACAACCTCACCCAAAACTCTACCTGAAGCTGTGAACCTTCTGGTTTTACCTGCTCCAGGGGCATGGAATAAGGTAGAATCCTGTGCAAAGTCCCTATGTGGCACGTTTAACACAATGGTTCTCAAACTTCTGTACTGGTGACCCCTTTCACAGAACAAGCCTCTGAGTGTGACCCCCCCCTTAAATATATAAAAAAGTGTTTTTAATTTATATCAATATAAATGCTGAAGGCAAAGTGGGGCTTGGGGTGGAGGCTGACAGCTCGCAACCCTCCTGTAATAACCTCAACCCCCAGTTTTAGACCCCCGGCTTTAATACACTATTGCTCTCTCTTTACTAGCACAGGACACCAACAGATTCACACAAAAATAACCTACCCTCATTGCCCTGTCTCAGTTTCCTCACCACCCCAAACCATTCAGGAGTCAGGGGAGCCATCATTTGTGTTCTGAACAACTGAGCTTTCTTTTCTCAGCTTGTCTCCTTTGACCTCATCTGCTCCATCTCCTTCTCCTCTCCTGCCCAAACTTCCCATGGCTCTTTCAATCTCTTGGGTAGGTGACTTAAGGAGCAGCCTTGACAGGTGATCACAAACCACTAGCGGGTACCAAGTGTCCTTTCCCCTGATAAATCAGTGTCCACAGTGAGAGCCAACCTGGTGCCCAGGATGGTGGATGTAGAACAGAGGACCAGCCTGGGTTAATGACCCTCTCGTGGCAGCCCTTGTACCTCTCAGAATTTCAGTCCACCGCAGAGGTAAAGAGGCAACAGCGAAGGCAACTAGCCTTTGCAGTTAAAATGAAGTTTGCAGCTTGGTAAAAACATGTACACAGAGTTCAGTTTCACACAGAATTCATAAATTGTACAGATTGCCCCAATCATCGGGTAAAGCAACAGAGAGACACTCATGCTAGCCTCCGTTCACCTGTTCTGTGAAGAAATGGACGTCAGTCTTCTGGGCCATCATTAAAAGTACCTTTCACACGTACTGAATTTTTTAAAAAATCTTTTGGAGATTTTTGTTTTAAAGAGTTGGGATTTTTGAGCCTATTCTGAAACATCTGTGTTGGACAAGCAATTTGGTCCCATCATCTCACCATCATCTTTAATGCAATGGCTTTGTTAGTCCTATTTTAGTCTTGTAATTATAATCAATGCAACAGTGAGTCTTCTGAGATGAAAGTAAAACCACCGTATAATCACAATGAAGAGGTAGAATTGTAACTCAGAAATAACAGTTAAAAAAAAAAAGCATTAACTGCATCTGAAAGAACTTTCGTTACAGAAGAGTCAGACTGAGATAGAGCTGCCTCTTTTTTTTTTGAAGTAGTGTTTTTTGTTTTTGTTTATACTGTTTATCAATCACCCTCTTACCCTTCTACAGTGTTAAAGAAGGCACTGTGGGAAGACAGTAGCTGGGCTAATGACAGGACTAATTAAGACATATGTAACCAATCAATGCTGTCTTCATGACTGGCAATCAACCAGCACCACTTGTGAACTAGCACTTGCAGGCTTGATTTCAACCTAGAACTAATGGGTCTCATTTTCAGAGGGCCTGAGCACCTGCACTTCCCATTGACTTCAATGGGAGCAAGAGGGATTTGCAAAAGCACCTGACAGATTCAGGCACACAAAGTTCTTTGACTTTCAAACAGATTTTTGCTTTAAATCCTATAGGTGCTTTTGAAAAGCTCCTCTGAGAGTGTTCACTACCTCTGAAAAACCAGGCCCAGTTTGTTTGTTTGCTTGCTTGAAATAGCAGCTCATTTTGAAGGCAGCAGCCCTATGACACTGTAGACTGCAATAGAATATGCTGCCTTGAATGCAGCGGAGTGGACTACATGACCGAGTGAGGTCCCTTCCAGTCCTACACTTCTGTGAGTCTCTGCTTGAGACTTGCAGCCAATTTATCCATTTTTTCATACCTCATAATAATCTGAAAGCACATCTGAAAATGAATTTTAAGTAGCTGCTGCATAGAGCTGTCTACATGTACAAGCAGCCTAGATTACTTTCCTTCCCTGATGAGCGGCCTGAACAAAACAGTTTCATTCAAGTGGTTGTTTAATCTAAGCTTAGAAAAACCTGCAAAAAGAAAGGCTACCAGCTAAACATGCTGCCAGCTTGCTTCCAATTACAAAGACCAATCACTTTCCTCAGGTCAATTGCATCTTAGATCTCATACCAGGAACACCACTTCCATCCAGCTCCTTGCTCTGCCTAGGAGTTGGACTGAATGACCCTGCCCCAGCAGTACCATCTCTTCTGTTCTACTCCAGGTTTGCTTTACTTCCTCACAAAAAGAAAAATATTGCACCTGCTCACTGTCTAAGTGGAACTGACCCGCAGGTGTAAGGAAAGCAGGACTCTGCCCACCAAAGTGAATGCTCTTGGGGGCAGGGACTGTCTTTTTGTTCTGTGTTTGTACAGCACCTTGCACAATGAAGTACTGCTCCATGCTGAGTGCTCCTAGGCACTACGGTAATACAAATAAAAACCAATAAGAAACTGACCGTCTTTGTGTAAACTGTTTGCAGATTACTTCAGCCCTGGGGGCACGCATTATCTGGCAGAAGGCACTAAGCGAATGGCCCCATGTGCTTGGAAAGGAGAATCCCTTCAATAAACAGATTGAAGATGTTTTCAAAGATCAAGGGGGACACTGAGTTCAACATTGCCTGAGCCATGCAGCACTGTTTATTCTTACTAGTGTCTTCCAGGCTGCAGTGAAAAGAAACAAAGCCAGCCTCTTTTGGCCAGTGCAGCAGTATAAAGAGCCAGTACCTGTATAGATGATGTAAAAGCCTTCTTTCCAAAAAGTGTTGTATCTCATCTGCAAAGCCACATACGTGAGTAACCTAGGCGTTAGCTTTGGTTATGTATAGAGTCGTGAAAATGAATCAATGGATGTTTGCCGACAGGACTATTTAAACACCTCAATTTGCAAATCCACAACAGGGCTTTCTCTGCCACTAGTAAATTGAAGAAGCCTACTTCAGATTTCTTCGGTGATCGCCCTGGGGATGACTTCAAATGGTTAATCCAATCAAACAAAAACTCAGTGATGTTGCCATAAATTGTATGTAATGGTTAGTGTGGCTGTGTCAATCTACGGTATTATTAAAACTGCTATTTGCTTATTAAAAATGTGCCAGGGATGACTATGAAACAGAATTTTGATTTGCCTGGCAGCACTAAGGCAATCTGATTGGGCAGAGGTGTTTCCCCTGCCCCCATTGAGAGTAAGTAGGGTCCATCATGACAACCCTTTATGCATTTGGGGAAAAAAATACTACTTTTTAAGAGTTTAAGTATATTATTTACATTATTTGTGAGTTGTCATTGACTGCCAATGACAACTCACAAATAGTGTAATATACTCACAAAAATACTGGGGCCAGCCTGCAGCCTTTACTCACATGAGGAAGCTTATGAAGCTAAGAAGGGGTCAACACAGGTTAGGACTCTATATATAAAAGTGTTGGAGGGTTGGATCCATTGGGAGCAGTGACATCACTGCTACATTTACCTGCTTGCCATCACCTGGCTTTTAAAACAAAAACAGTTACAAAGTTAGACTTCGGATAAAACAGCCCTAATGAAGAAGAGTTCATGCCCCTGATTCCATTCTTTATGCTAATCTACACATGAGCAGTGCTAGCCAGTAGGAAAAATCTGTTTAACTAAATGATATGGACTTAGTTATGCTTGTTTAAGCATTAAAGAATACAGCCTGTGTTCAGATTGTAAACTCTCTGGGGCAGGGACTGTCTTTGTTCGGTGCTTAGCACAATGGGGTCCTAGTCCATAACGGAGGCTCCCAGATGCTACCGCAATACAAATAGTAGGCAATATGGCCTAAGCCTGCAAGCTTCTGAGTGCACTTAACTCATATTGAAGTCAGTGTGAGGTGAGGCTGCTCAGTACTGCAGGTAAGCTGGGGGTTGAGTTGTAACTACTGTGCCTGCTGCTATTAACTGAGCTGTCAAGCTGGCAGGGCACAAAGCCCAAATTGGCTGTGGGTTCTATACTTAGATTTCACCAAACCAAGTATCTAGTGTAAACTCCTCAGACACTAAACAGCCTAATGCAGGAGTCACAGACAGGCCCTTATCTAGCTTATCACCTAGGCAAGCCTGTCTTTATGCTGGATGGTCCCTTACACCAAAAATCACAGTATTACTCCTAGTCCCAAAGGACCAGTCACTTACCCCAGGTCAATTGCATCTTAAAACACTTGTAGCCACTCCTTGAATAAACTAGCTAAAGAGTTATTAACTAGGAGAAGGAAATAGTTATTTACAAGGTTAAACATTCACCAGTGATTCGCAACCTATGTAACAGTGTGGGCTGCAGGTTGAGACCTGCACCAGATGCTCTCTGGTCCGCCCAGCCCTGCACTGCCAGCGTGCCCCTTTCTCTCAGGGGCAGGCCTGCACCACACCAACCTCCAGCACAACACCCCCACCCCGATTCCCTATGCCCAGTGCCCCCGCCCAGAGACGGCTCTACAGACCCTCCCACCACCACAACTGCACAGCACCCTGCACACCACCCAGCCCCCACGGCCCAGAGCCCCAACACAGTGCCCCCACCAACCCCACTCTCCCGCACCCCACTGGGAGGTGACTGTCTGCTGGGGATCACACTGGCCCCTCAGGAGAGACGCGATCAGCCAGGTTGGCGCAGGAGCAGGGCTTGCCCAGGCCAGGCTCCCTCAGGACCCACTTACCCAGCAGGGTCCCCTACCTTGAACTGCTGGGCTAGTCCCCTGCCACAGGGGGCTGCTTCGCCTTCGCTGCTGGCAGGAAAGCTCCAGCAGGACTGCATGCATTGGTGGATTAGCTGACGGGGCCCATGCCCAGGAAAAACGAGTGCCCTAACCCACTCCCCGGCAGCAGTGCCAGGGGAAGGCCAGCGCCCAAACTGTGGCTACGGCCCCGGGACTGGAGGAGCTGTCTCACTCCCGCTGCAGCCCCGGGGCCATGGCGGGGGTTGGGGGGTGGAAACAGAGCTTCTCCGGTCTCAGGGCCACAGGGGGGGTTGAGGGAGAAAAGTGAAGGATGAGAGGGGCAGAACCGTGAGTGGAACAGGGGCAGGGGCCACAGGAGAAGGGGCAGAGTGGGTGGGGCCATGGACAGGGCTGTAGGCAGAAGGGGTGGGGAGCCCCCTCTTCCCCCACTTGCTCTGATCCAGGGACCCACAAAACTTTAATCCGCCTCTGACTGCGTGGTGCTGTCACCCTCCCGCCCACCAGACCAGAGTGGGAAACTTTGAATTTTTTTTGAGCACACAGCTGGGCCCCCAACAATGTGCTAATTGGGCCACATGCGGCCCACAGGTCGAGTACCACTGACAAACACAAATGCGTTAGTTTTAGGTTTCTAAAGGTAATAGAAGCTTCTCTAATAAGCAGTCGTGGGTGTAATAGGCTGGAGGAGGCTAAGCCTCCCCACCAGGATGCAGCACACCTCCCTTTGGCCCCACCCACACTCCATTCCCCAAAGCCCTGCTCCCACATCCCGCTCTTCACCCATGGCCCCACCCACGCTGCACCTCTTCCTGCCCCTTCTACGTCTTCCCCTCCCTCCCCTCACACCTTTTTACTCCTTGAAAGATAGGGCGGGGGGGGGGGAAGGGGAGAGAGACGGGACTGTAGGGGGATGGGGGCAGAGAGGAAGGGGCAGGGCAGCCACTCAGGGATGGTGTAAAGAGGTACAGGTGGCAGGCAGGGCACCTTGGGGGAGGATAAGAAGGGGCATGAGCAGTGGGCAGGCCTCAGGGGACGGTGGGGCGAGCAGGAATGGGGCCTGGGGCAGAGTGGGGGTGGAGCATGGGTGGGACAGGGAGTAGGGCCATGGTCCAGGCACTCATGGGTTCCCCCCCCACACTTCTAGGGAGACTCCAGCCCAGCCTCCCCAAGTGTGGGAGTCACATGCCACCCGTGTAAGCTATATAAAAGTCCCTTAAATCTAAGGGACTGCGGGCAGGGGACTGGACTCGATGACCTCTCGAGGTCCCTTCCAGTCCTAGAATCTATGAATATGAATATAATCCAGGCTAAACACAGGAGCTCTCTTTCTTATGCCTAGAAAACCTGGCCCTCAAGCAACAGCCAGCTACAGTTCCTTGGTGTTAGGGCTTTTTATTCTTCCCATACCACCTGCTTTGAGTTGCAAACTTAGCTGGTGGGAAGAAAGCAATCAAAACTACCTTTCTCCTCTGATGTTCGAGAATAGTTTGTCTGGAGTCAAGGTGCATTTCCTGTGGGACATGACCTAACACCTTCTGTTGGAAGCCAGCATTTCACTCTAATAATCTCTTTCCTGTCTGGTGATTTACACAGAAGCTTATAATGCAAACACTTAAATAGACTAATACCATTAAAAAAATTAAAATACAAGTTCCCATTTAAACCACTTTTTTCCTCAGTCCTCGTCACACCCACCGAGGTGCTACAGTCAGCAGCCCATATTCAAAGTACGTTGGAACAGATTTAGTTAAAACACAAGCAAAACTGCATGTTACAATTTACACACACACACACACACACACACACACACACACACACACACACAAAGTACACATGAGAATAAGTGTTTTATCACCCAGGTTTATTGACTAATACCCTGAGTGAGTTAGGCAGGACATCCAAACTCTGAGAAGACATTTCTCACATCAGCCTGTCATGGGATCTGAGCGCACCATGTATTTACAGACTAAAATTTAGAAATGCACCATTCTTTTATCCTTCCACCTATAAAGCTAAGCTCCCTTTGTACAATAAGACCTACTCAATAGATCTGTTTTCCAAAGTTTTAAAAACACTTCCATACACATGAAATTTTGGATCCAATCTCTTGCTGTTTTGCTACTAGAAGGATGGGAGTCCCTGGCTTTCTGTTGGGATAAAGAACCTATTTCTAGCTTTGGAGTTGCAAGATATCAAATATACCCATCACTGTGCAGGATGGCAACAGAAGCTTTTTAAGCTGCTCGAGTTTGGACTGCTTGCAGTTCAAAAAGAGATTGATCGTGAACAGCATGAAAATGAAGTTGTCAGAAGCTCAAAATAGAGTCCAAAGTTTTCATTTCAATAAAATTTAAATTTATATTCACATACACAGGCCTGATAAAAAAGCAGGGAGGGCAGTTTTCTGTAACTCACATCAAATTCTGAAGTACCTACATTTCATATGTCATCAGCTCCATTACCCTCAACTTGAGAGGTCTCCTTTGATGCTGCTTTGAGCATTGCTTATGTTTTGAGTGTGTCCATCACTGGTGGCCAAGAGACTTTCTTTGCAATTTTTCTGGAAGCTGTTCACTTGTGAAAGAAGATAGTCTCCAAGTTTATGCACCTAAAGTCCTCTATCCAGATAGAGCATAGACAGTGGAAGTACAAGCTTCATGCTGCCCTGTCAACATGCTTCAGTCCTGACCAGGTTGGACCACCACTAGTCTCCATACCCAACACTTGGTGGCTGATGAAGTTGCCAAGAGGGTAGAGGTCTGTAGCATGATTACTTGACCACTGAACTGGAGTGAATATATCAAACAGACCAGACAATAGTATGGTGTGGGCCAGACATCAACAATGCAGCTGGTTTTCTAATACGAGTCAGTCTTCACCACCACTGAGCACAACCCAGTCCACCATCTGTATATGGACTAGAAGTCCTGAAATGTTATGCACTTCCTTCACAGCCACTCTTCTCCCCCTCCAATCCAAAGTTTACTTCTATGACTGCAGACAACCCATTTCTGAGAAGCTTACCTCAGTGTTTTTATTCTTTACATAAAGGGAATAAAATAAATCTTAATACATCAATCTGAAATATTTAAAGACAACAAAAAAAAGCTAGATTCAAGAGCGATAGTACAAAATGACAGGATGAAA